TTGTGTAAACTATCGACTCGAAAATCTGTCCGACTCTCAAATTTGATTGGGTTCGGAGAGTTTGGTGCATTCTCCTGAATATTTGCGGATTCAATCAACGCCCTGCAACGTTAATGAATTATTTGTTTCCGGTACCTCTCTTTGATATGTGATTTATCGAAAATGACTAATTTAATGATATTTCTAGAAACTATTACTTGTTGATCGGTTAAGCCAAAACGGATAGGAAATAAATAAGATAGCTGAAAAAGTTGGGAGAACCTGGGCTAGAATCAACTCTGTCCTGCAACCCAGTGATCGCAAGAGGATGATAACATGTAATCTGACATAATCTAAACTGTAAACGCGCGTGTGGTTGGCTATCATAGGAAAAATTGGACACCAATCACAGTCTACCGTAAGATACCCAATTTCTTGGCAACAGTGCCAAATAAGTTCGGAATTCATGGATATACAAAGGATGCTTAGTGCATCATACATCTAAAATGTGTTTATATGATCTAACAGCTACGAAGGGCGTTCAGCTCATCATCTTTGCTTATCCTGACTGTAGTCAACGTGATTAGGCATTTTTCAATCTAGATCACTAAATTTTGAAACGTGCTATTGCTCCCAAAAAGATGATTATTTCATACAGTACAAAACAAGCTTTATTGTGACACGTATAAATCTAGTTCACTTCAGTGTGCAGTTTCCGAGTTTCTCTTAGTTCTTATAAAAACCGCGATGTTGCTGTTGGTCTGTGATAAAATCGATGCAATAAACTGCTTTCAGCTTCCGCAGTGAACAACGTGACAAAGTGTAATCTGCCTATATGAGTATATCGTTACATTTACCATAAACCTAGTTTATTTCCCTGTGCTCGCACATTCGTTGCTCGCCTCGCTCCCCCCGGATAGATTGACTCAACTGAATTTCTATCTATTAGAAATAGAAATGACCTTATACATGCTCAGGGTATTTATCGTCAACCGTGTGGCTGACGCTTAGGCAGGATTCCGACTCCCAATCCGAAGTTTATCTGCTCCGTTCCTAACTGTGTGCACCAGCGCACGATTTACCGATCAACGAAAAATTCAGTAAAACGGATTTTCGCATGGCTGTTGCTACTTCCCACATTATAGTCCTCTTACTGTTTCAGCTTCACCCATCACCCATTCTACTACCACACACACACACACACACACACACACACGTTTTGCATTCTATGAGGTCCTCGAAAAAATTCACAAATCAATCTGGGAGGGATGCAGGGAGTAGTTCTACTACAGTATTGGCAATTCTCTGCTGGACACCGTCCCTAGTCTAATACTGCAAGTGAAAGCAGCTTGTTGATCTCGTTCAGTTTCTAGGTTGAATTTTATTTAACTCCAGGGGATGCTCATTATTTTTGAAACTGTGCTAACCCAAATTATCGATAACTATTAGACAGGGGTATAATCCTGTTTGGATCACTATTGGCAGTGTATCAGTAAGAGTAGGAGAAAACTTGTGAATCTGAAGACAAAATTCACCACAGAAACAGTTTACCGGTTTTAGTTCCATTTGCTCATAGTGAACTAGCTTCCAATTCGTTATCTGAAATTCCGTGAGCAATCGTTTTGAAACTAGTATCAATAACGTTTCCATAGTTCAAATCGTACTATTTTCTATTTAGTAACTGTTACTTTAAAGCGTACATATTTAATAGATCTGTACTGCTTCTTGAAAATGATTGCGTCACCTAACGTCATTGTGTGACTAACCTGAATAACTGATCTGTTTCACCTTCTCACGATCCCTATCTGCACCCATTCGTCTAATCCGCCGTAGAATTCGCATCTGTTCAGGAAAGCCTGTTCACCCCACTTAATAGCCATCTGTGACTTGCACAGCTCCGACGCGAAAACCACCACATGACTAAATTGACCAAACTGTGCTCCGCATCCTGCAGACAATACAGATCATGCGAAACGCAGTCGAAGACGTGAGGGTTGCACTATGAGGCAAACCGTAATGCAAAAATGCAACAATGGAATCGCTCCTAGAATAGTGAAATTGTGCCGACGGTCATTTGATCAATTTGACTCGGTGTGATAGCACAGCAGGAATAAATGCATCGTTGATGATCGAGTTTGATATCACTACTCCCACCAGAATTCAAAGCTGCACAAATTCTGCATGGAAACTAATAGCATTATTGACTATCTTTCAACAGTCATCAATAAGAATACTATGGTTCATAAATTTATCGTAAAATTTGCAAAATTTAATTGCCGGAGTAAAAAACGACTTTAGTCAACACCTATGTATGTTTCTAAGCAGACTTTGGTCGGTCGCATCCCTCCGCTGAAAATTGTCTGGATTGGTTTATGTTGAATTGCAACGTAGAAAAAAAGATAATTTTAAAAGACCATTATTGGTACCATTATTATTTTTATTGTTAGTATAAACACTAGGTTAGTCCTGACCACCTTTGTCGGCCACGATTAATTTAGTTAAACGAAATGGAATAAATATAATTATCAACAACAGCTAATTTTGATACTTTATGAATGAAACTGATTGCCGTTTCGTGCAACTGTGGACTCAACCAAATTGTATGGCATACAGCCCCATTTCAATTCACACTCTTCTTTCACTAACCTATTTCGGGCGAGTCTATATCAAGAAATACAAGTACTTCATTTCAGGGTATCGATTTAGGGACAAAATATTTACGATTTCCGTTGGCAACCTTATATATGCATATAAGGAAGAATAACGGTCTTATCAGCTTCCCGGTGACCGACCGGATAGCATGCTTGCATTCCATCTGTGAGGTCCGTGGTTCGATCCTCAGTTCGGTCGATGGATTCGCACTGCTGATGAGACCCAACCAAATCGAAACAGCTGTACAGTGGTTCCTAGCATTTCAGTTCACGCTTCATCTGCTCTGTACACGACGAATCCCCTACTAAATCTAAATATCAATATATTCGTTGCAATAACCCGATTTGCAATATCCAGTAAATTTGTTTGAACAGCTCTTTCAGAGCTAGTCGATTGCTGAATCAACACTATGATTCGATGTTTAGTATGGGGGTTACATACTACTCACTGCAACTAATAACACGGGTACCAGTATATGAATGAAATGATAAAAGATTACCGGGTACGCATGCCTGACGAGCAACAAGATCCGCGAAACCGACCGTGCGCTTCCAGGGGAATTTTACCCAGTTATCCATATACTACTTATTGTAAAACTAGTCCATAAAGACGCTTAAGTCGCGTTTGTGGTGGTTAGTAGCATCTAACCCACCTACAAAACATCGAATCATACTACTGGTTCATCATTGGACTGGCTCTGAAAGAGCTGTTCAGACAAACTTACCCGGTTTTTCAAATGAGGTTATTGCAACGAATATATTGATATACATTTTTTTATTTCTAATGCTAGGCAGACAAAGTGGACAAACTATAGTAACAACCTCAGTCGATGAGAGTGGGAGCCGAAAGAGCAATACTAACAAGGACATCCTAGTGAAATATTCATGCCTGTTGTGGACTCACGGTGTGATCGGTTGCAGGAGTGTGTTCCAACCTTAGAGAATGCCGATTCACAGAAGCGCTTGACAAACAACATCGATAAGACATATGCTTGGGGGAATCTTCACGCGCTGACAGGTGCACGTGTACTCACGCATCAATAATGCAGTATGGTTTTAGCCCATGCTCACACACACACCCATCCACCTTCGTGCATCACGAGTTGCGCGTCGGACAGTTTTGCTTACGCTTGTTTGCCCTCGGTCTCTCTATCTGTGGAGTCTACAACTATGGCAGTGGAAGCTCTCCAAGAGAGGCGTGGATACCAAATGAGTTTGGATGGGTATGGGTCATTCAATATGAGCACGAACACACACACAACAAAAAATAGAGAGAGGACGAACATCTGCTTTATTCCCATACCAAGGAATGCAAATATGCGTATACAGACGCACACACACACACACACACAAACAACGTACATCCTCCGCCGTCCATACACCCACACACACAAGCTCGCGCGAGGGTACCCTCCCCTCTCAAGTGGTTCTGTGCTCACATTGCACAGTCAGGGGGATAGCAAGGCCATGGCGGACGGTAGAACAGGGGGACGTCAAAATTGCTCGTTCGCCGTGTCTCCTATTTTACTCCTTCAAACAACCGTCTTCAGACCAGAGAAATGGTCAATGAACCGTGAGAACCACCGAACCTGTTACACATTGAAAGAGGCAGATAGCAATGTGCCAGATGGCAAGCATTCAGGCACTATTTGTCCTAAACCAGATAGATCGAATGCCTGAAGCAAACTGGGTGATTTTTACCCGATTCCTTGATCGATTGATTTGGATGGCCAGTTAAAGGCAGTTTAATGGGGAATATGGTCGTAGAGTGTCTCAGTTGGACTTTTGGACTCTTTCACTGATCACAACACAGTTTAGCACACAAAAATAGTTTTGGCGTTAATCCGGTTTCTTCTTAACACCGTTTGATATCGTTAAGGATATTCACAGTTTGATATGCACTCATCAAATATCCTAAACAACATCAAACTGTGTTAAGAACGAATCGGATTAACATCACTAATATGCCTCTACGTCCCCAAGCGCTCAATGAACGAACAAAATAGTTTTGTTTTAAAGAAATATGCTTGAGAAATGGTTAGTGCGTAATCCGTATTACTGCTAATTCAAAAAGTCACTTTTAATTGTATAATGAAGCACTAACAGATATTAGTCGAATATAGAATTTAACCATTTATTTTTTCAGATAGACTTAAAGAGAAAGC